CAACAAACTTTCCTTTAGGTCTCACTGGTGGGAATGGAAGGTAGGCATATTGCCACTTGCACAAAATTAGAAGTTTGTCAAAAAAGACAAAGAGGAAGAGATACATATAAGGTAGTCTGAAGTGGAGAATTTATGGTCTCTCTCCCCAAGGAGTTAATTTTGTAGAGATAAAATATGTATATTTGAATAATAATATGGAAATTAGGAAGTGATAGTAAATACAAATGACAACAATGGAGAGGAGATCTGATCTTTAGAGATCTCCTATGGCCCGTAATTGTTTAAAGAACCCTGTTGGTGAAAAGTTTGTGTCTTAGCTGGAATCTGGGCTGCTTCTTACATTGCATACCATGCCTTGCTGACTTATGCCAGAATGGGTGGGTGTTTTTTTTTTTTTTTGGTACCAGGGATCGAACTTGGGATCTTGCGCTTACGAGCCAGGCAGCAGAACCACTGAGATAAATCCCCGGCCCTTTTTTCTGTTTTTTTGAGACAGGGTCTCACTGTGTAGTTCACGCTGGCCTGGAAATCACTGTGATCCTCATGCCTCAGCCTCCCAAGTGCTGGGACTATAGGGATGTGCCACCACGTGTAGTGGGGGTGAGTATTTTGAGCTAGTATCCAGAATTAATGGGGAACCTGTGGTGGAGTAGATCTGATGCCAGGCAGATGAGATGGCACTTCAGAGATTGATGAAAAAGTCCTAACACAGAAGTCCAGAAATTTATTTTGTGTATATAAAGTTTCCCTGGATGTTAGGAACAATAAAGATCCTTTGTTTTTAGTCTAAGTCCCTTAGTCACCTAGGTATACAGTGGACCCTTGACTTAAGAACTCGATCGGTTCTGGAGGACTGGTTGCAACTAAGTCAGTACAGCTGAGATCTGAATGTTTACCTGGGTACATGCTATAGATAAGAGGCAGATGAATATTCCATTAACCTAATTAACCCAAGTTGTTTATATGTCAGGCTGGTCGTAACTTGAGGGTTCACTAATTCCAAGCTATAAATTTATCTTCAGAGCATTAAGAGGCCATCAGTGTTAGGGTCACTGAACTTTTTTTTCAGTTGGCAGACTGACATAGAAATTAAACAGATAATAGATAGTTAAATTTCTCATATTCCACCTTCTCATTAATATCATACATTAGAATGGTACGTTTGATAGAATTAATAAATACAGATACATTGTTAACTAAAGGTCAAAATTTGTTCGAATTTTCTTAGTTTTTACTTAGTGCCTCTTTTCTGCTCCACTTTGCATTGAGTTGACTTATGTCTTCAGGCACTTCTTGACTGTGGCCTTTTGTTGTTCTCCTTGTTTTCAATGACCTTGAGAATTTTGAGGAGTATTGGTCAGGTATATTATAGGATGCCCCTCCAGTAGAATGTACCTGATATTTTTCTTATGATCAGACTGGGAATTTTGGGGAAGAAGACACTGTGCTGTTTTCATTTCAATCTTGGTCACCTGGTTGAAGTAGTGTTTGTCAGGTTTCCACTGTAGTCTTTTATTATCCCCCCACCCCCAACCTTTGGAAGGAAGTTGTTGTGTGCAGCTCACGCTGGAGGTGGAGTACCTACACAATTTGTTTGGAATTCTTTGGCATAGATTTGTCTCTTTTTCTCCATTTATTAATTGTCTTTTATTTATATCAGTATGGACGTAGGGCTTTTTCTTTTTTTTGGTGATACAGTGCTTTATTTAGAAAAAGATAAACACCACTGATTCTAAGATATTTTTTTCTTTCAAATGGCACACTAATTAGACAAAGTACTCCAGGATAATAGATGTATTTACACACTGAATACAAAATAAATATACAATATTTGGAAAACTTAGTTATCCATTGATTCATTTTGCATTTCCACTGTTCATCTTCTGTTTTAATTTTCTTTGCTTTTTGTAAATCCTTTTTTTCCTTGCTTTCAAATCGACTTTTGGCTCTGATTTTACCCACTGTATTTCTATTGGTTTTTCCTCAGCTGGTGTAACAAAAACATCTTCAGTGGAATCGTGTGGAAGAACAGTCTTTGGCTCTTTCTTTCTCAGTTTCTGCACATCTTTTACTTGCTGTTTCTCTTTGTATTTTGCAGCTGTGATGGATCTTATGATACGCTGATGCATGTTTGGTGACTGGTAGTGAGGATTTTCATATAAAGTTGGTCCTCCAAAACTTTCCTGAAAAATCTTTATCAGATTTAAGACAAAACGAGGTCCTATTTCTACAAGTTGAGCATCTTCATCTATGACCTGAAAGTTCTGAAACCATATCCTGTTATCCAAAATGGTGAAAGTAAATACGTGGTCCACAAATGGCTGGCTTTTGGGATGATACCGTGGTGTACTAAAAATCTAATTAAGAATTCTTTTAACAAAGCATAATGTGCCAATTCATCAAAAACAGGGTCAAAAGACAAAATGGGCTGAAAACCTTTCAAACAGTTTCTAGTCATCTTCAATTCTGCTAGGGTATGAATATTTTGAAGAAGGAATTTGGCAGAGGGTCCATGAGGTGGATTTGAAAGCCTCATATAAAGATCTTGTTTTTTCTTAGCTTCAAAATAGATGCATTTATTGCAGTTTTTCATTTCACAGACCTCATTAATCACAAATAATTTATCTTTACCATCCATTTTAGTATCTGCTTTAGAATGAGGCATCAACGTTCTCAAAATGTCTTGTTCTGAAATTTATTCCTCTGGAAGAAAAGATGAGAATCCATTCCTTATTTTTCCACTTGCCCTTGTTTAAGATGCTTTCATTGGATGAAGGTTAACTTCAATGAGAACTTGTGCTCAGTGTCTTTTTAATAAAATCTATCAATTTCAAGGAATTTTAGTTTCCTTCTAAACTCCAACATTCCCTGCAAATGGGGCCTGGGATACGGCCCTTCTCTGCTTCCTCCATCTCTTGTGGCATAGCCGATGACTTAGCTGGAGGCTTGGCATCTTTTTGTTTCTTTTTGGCCTCTTTGCTGAAACTGCCATGTCCCCACGCTGCTTACTCTTGGTTGTTGCCATCTTGCTTCACCACCTTCCCTCTTGACCCATGGCTTTTTCTTATACTTTGGGTTATAACCCAAAATTATTTTATTAGTTTTCTTGCTCAGATTGTTTCAGCTTTGGCTGTTGGAAATCTTTCATTTGGAATCCGTGCCCCTTTAACACATACCCATCAGTAAGGTTTTTTTTTGTACTTATTTACTTTCTGAGACTACAGGATGCTTCACACTTATCTTATTTCCTGCTCCAGCTTTAATATTAACTATTTCTCCAGAGAACCTTGGTTCATTTTGTTGGAGGATAGTACTGGAAACCAGATCTGGATGCTAGATGTATGTGCTAATTGTTCCTGGAGTGTCATTGCTTTTAGGCCCTCTTAGTTGATAATGCCAGGAAATGCATGTTTGTGTACTATCTTGTGTACATATATAGTATATCTAAATTTTTAATGTAACTGCATCTGTATTAAACCTGAATTCTTACTGATGTCTCCAAATTAATCCATTACTACATATTTCCTGCTCTCTTTCTCCCTTATGTATAAATTCCCACTCCAACAACCCTGTAGCTGCTATCTTTTGCTTAATAATTAATTTTGCATAGTAATACACAGTAGTATCAGAATTGTTAACACAATTAGGACATGGTGATTATGTACATATCTTTTTGCCTTTGGTTTAGACTCATTAGTTTAGCACTTTTCCTTCTATACCTTTCAGTGAGGTTGTTTTATACATTTATAAAATAGTTCATTCTTTTATCAGTCTGCATTCTTTATTAGAACCTCTGATTGCCTACATGGTTTTTTAAAAAAAATTGCGAACATTAAGGTTCATGCTTTGTTCTGTGAAGTTCTATAGCTTTTGCCAAATGTGTATCATATAACCAACAGTCTAATATAGAATATTTTTACCACCTTAAAAATCTGTGGCTCACCTCACACCAGCTAGCAGGGTTACTTTGAAAACAACAGAAACTATGTGTTGGCAAGGGTGTGACAAAATTGAAACCTTGTGTACTATTGGTGGGAATACGAAATAGTACAGTTCTGTGGAAAACATTATGATGGTTTCTCAAACAATTAAACATGATCCAGCAATTCCACTTGTAGTTATTGAAAAAGAATTGAAAGTGGGCTCTAAAAGAGGTACTTATACATTGGTATTTATAGTAGTATTGTTTATAATAGCCAGAAGGTAGAAGCAACCCAGGTGTCTATGGACAAATAAGTGGGTAAGTAAAATGTGCTTACAATAAATATTATTCTGCCTTATAAAGGAAGAAAATTCTTTTTCATTAAGATTATTGGTACATTTTAGGTATACATTATGGTCACATTCATCATTGGGAATTTGGACCTGTATGTGATGTATCCTGGTTCTTGTTTTTTTCCCATTTCCCTTCCCTCCCTTCAACCCCTCTACATCTCCCTATTTGCAATAGCTTTGTTTCCATTTTTTCCTTTTCTTATTTTTTTCTTTCCCTTCTCTCAAAAGGAAGAAAATTCTGACATATTCTATACAACATGGATGGATCTTGAAGACATTATGCTAAATGAAGTAAGCCAGTTATAAAAAGGCACACACTGTATGATTCCATTTATCTGAAGCCCCTAGAATAGCCAAAAACAGAAGGAAATAGAATGGTGGTTAACAGGGTCTAGGAGGAGGGAGGAATGGGGATTTACTGTTTAAAGGGTGTAGAATTTCAGTTTTGCAAGAAGTTCTGGAGATGAATGCTGGTGATGATTGTATAATAATGAATGTATCTAATCTAATGCCACTGAACTGTATGTACACTTAAAAATGGTTAAAGTGGTAAATTTTTTGTTAAGTGAATTTAATCACAACTTAAAAAACTGTACTTTTGTCCTCCTCCTTTCCCTTTAAATCCCTTGTGCTTCACTTGCTTATCCCCCTCCCCCACTCATCTTTTTATTTGTGACTTTTTATCATTCCACAAGGAAAGATGGGCTCATCGGGAGTCATTCCATATTTCCCTCTCTCCCCTAACCCCAGCCTTAGGAAAGTACTAATTTTTCTGTCTATAGACTTTCCGTTTGGGACATTTCATGTAAATGGAATCATATTATGTGTAGTCATTGATGTTTGGCAAGTTTTAATTAGCATAATGTTTTCAAGGTTTGTCCATATTGTAGCATTTATCAGTACTTCAGTCTTTATTACTGAATATTATTTCACTGTACATACCGATGAACATTTTATTAATCCTGTTTGTCATTTAATGGACATGTAGGTGGTTTCCAGTTTTGTCTGTTATGAATAATGATATAATATAATAATATGACCCATTTGTGAATGTGTTTTTGTGTGGATATTTTTATTTTGTAAATTTATAAAGGTGGAATTGCTGAGTCATTCAGTAACTCTGAGTTTAACTTATAGGAATTCCCAGATTACTTTGTATTTTACATTGCCCCCAGGAATGTGTAAGGGTTCACATTTCTACAGTTCCTTGCAAACACTTGGTATCATCTGACTTTTTGATTATAGCTGTCATAGTCATATAAAGTGTAATCTCAACTGTGATTTTGATTTGTATTTACTTGATGATGACTGTTCAGCATCTTTCATGTGCACATTGTTCATTTGTGTATCTTTGAAGAAAGGTCTGTTCAACCCAGTTAACTTTGAAATATGAACGTTTACCTTAAATTCCTGTGGTTGTATTAATAAAATAAAAGCCAAAGTTGACAGCAGTGGTATTATATTGAGATGGTATTATATTGTGATGTTAAGAAGATAATTGTGTTTATATTTGGTATTTCTCGCCAGACTTGTCAGCCAGTCTTCTATACTAAGAGATGTCTGATGTTGGTGTAACTTAAGAAACTTAAAATCCAAGTGTAAATGTTAGTTTTGCCATCTTTTACTTTTTAAATGACACCTCTCAGTTAACTGGGATTCCATTTGGCTTGTCTCCTTTGCTTTATCTATGGATGACAGCCCTTGCTGTTGTCTGAGTAGAAAGCTTTCTTGATCTATTTTTTTTGCTGTCCTGGAGATTGAACTCAGAACCTTCCACTTTCGAGGCAGGCACGGCACCACTGAGCTAAGTCCCTGGCCCGGTAGAAAGCTTTCTTATGTTGTTAGGTCTCAGTAGTTTCAGCTCTCAAAGGCCAAAAAATGGATAGTCTAGGAGATATTTAAAAATAATGAAAATCTGCCTACCTCAAACATGACCTTTTGAGTTTTGAATTTTATTTAGAATTCTGTTAATTCCTATAACTTAAGAGATATTTTGGCTGTTCTTTGGGTCTATTCTAAGAAGAATAATGACAGTAATCTTTTGCTGTCTTATTTATGTTGTACTCATTTATGTTCTACATAGAATGTTAATTGGTTCATTAATCAAAGTTATATTGTGGTTTTCTCTCATTTTTTTGACATATTAAGAACCTACTTATGTTTATTGTAAGACCGGGGCCCTTACCAAACGCTCCGAGGAGCTGACTGCAGCGAAGAACACCCGGGAAGGAACACACCGGACAAGTTGGAAAGTAAAACAGACCTTAGTCTGGCCAGACGGCACTCCCAAACCAAAGTAGCTTAGAGAGGCCATCAGCCCAGAGTCCGAGGCTCTTTTTATAGGGGGTTGCAGGGAAGTTAACAGGTGAAATTTACAGAAGAGGGAACAAAGGTTAGTGGTCTTACATTTGTATGTTAATTAGCCTGACAAGTACTGATGGTCAGCAGATGTTTTGTAGATTGTTCTATAGATAGCGGTGTCGGGAACATCAGTTTTCGAACAAAGAGTTGAATAATTATGGCTGATACAGATCTTATCTAGTGTCCCAGAACTAACAAACATCTTTATCTATTTACTCACATTCAATCACAGTTGGGGCTAGGGGAGTTTTATGATTACAGAGTTATGCAGTCCCACATTATTTCTTGTAATTATTTTTTGCTTGGGTGAAGTGTAAATTCGTTCATTCAACTTCTGATAGTCCAGAAGTAATGATATATTTTTATAGATTTCATATCCTTTAAAGAACAATTCTCATATTTCAGTCAGCTTTTGTGGATTTGGCCAGCCTAGCCTGAATATTTGATTCATTAAATTATGTAGATGTTGGGTGAGGTCCTGTTTGTAAGACTTTACTGCTCATAGTGTTCTTATGTGGGTGAGAAATGTTGCTGTTATTAACAATCCACAAATCTAGGTGATCATTAGAATCATCTTCTGGGGAATTTAAAGGTAGTAGGAACAATATCAATTCCCAAGTCCTGCTGTAGCCTTCTGAATCAGAACGAGGCTCAGTAATTTATATTTTTGGAAAATACCCCAAATGGTTCTCATATTAAGGGATGAGAACCATTGCTTTATGTGCTAAAATTTATACTGTGTCAAGCCAAGCAGTAGAAAACACATGCTGGATGTGGCAACACGTGCCTGTGATCCCAGCACTTGTGCAGAGGCAGAAAGATCACGAGTTCAAGGCCAGCCTGGACTATGTGGTGAGGCCCTGCTTTTGGAGGAGAGGGTAGAGAAAAGTTCTAGGTTGAGCTGCATTCCCTTTCCACTCCTATTTAATTTATTTTAGTAATGCTAATAATTAATAATTATTGAATATTTACCATTTGAGGCATCTGATGTTTTTGTTATCTCATTGTGGTTTTGTTAGGGCAAGTATTTTGTCCAAAATAACTTCATTGTTAGTGGTAGAAATGATTTTTATTTTTTATTATTCAAGGTAAAATATCTATAATCTTGAGTTTACTACTTAGGTATGTATCACATGTATGAAATACTCTGAACAGTTCATCACATTTAAAGAAATATTTTGTATGAACACAATTGTTAGGTAAATAAGCAATAGGCATAGAAACAATTGCTAATTCAAAAGGTTAAAACCTGTTGTACATAGGAAATTGTACTTGGTTACTTGTAAAATAACAAAGTAAGCATTATCATTTAAGTATTAGAATTATTCTTTTAATTAAAATAAAATGTAAAGTTGCTATTAGCTTTAGTTTACAAGTTGTGAAATATAGTTGCTGAATCAGAAATCCTAACTGGAGGTTGTATGTGTGGAAATGACTTGTTTCTACATATTCTGTATATTGCCACCCTACTGAATTGTTTTTTATAGTAGTTTTTCTGTCAGTGTTTTTTAGTTTTCCTGGTATTGTAGATTAAGAGCTGCAAGTAGTGATACTCTTGTCTTCTTATTTTGCAATATTTATATCTCTAATTTCTTTCTCTGTTTAGTTTTATTGGTGTATTAGTGCCTTAAAACATCACATATTAGACCAAATGTCAACATTGTCATCATAATACACAAATAATATGTAACTGATTTTTGTTTTGTTTTGTTTTGTTTTTGGTACTGGGGATTGAATGTGAGTCCTTGCACTTGCCAGGCAGGTGGCGGAACCACTGAGCTAAATCCCTGGCCTGATATGTAACTGATTTTGTGCTCAGTTAAAACACTTTTTCAGCACTTAATAAGCTCTAAGTGCAGGATCTGCTTTGATTCTTCCTTGTATCACCTATCTAGCCCACTGTCATTTACTAGCTTGTAAACTCTGAGCCTTGCTTTCACATTTGTAAAATAGTAATTATACCTATCCTTTATGAGAGATGAAGTGAGATTATATATAAAGCACTCAACACAGTGCCTGGCACTGGTGGCAATTATTCATTCATTTTATTCAGCAGATGATTAGGTGTTGAGCTAAGCAAAAAATGTGTTGAGAGCAAAAATGTTCATGGCAGAAAGAGAGCTATTAATCAAGTAGTCAAATGAAGAAAGAGTAAGTACCCCAAAGAGAGAGAACAGAATTCTGTATAATGATAGCAACATAAAAACCTAACTTACTAGTAAATTTAGGGAAGGTGTCTCTGGAGGAAATGTTAGTAGAGATCTGAAAATTGTTTAGATCTCACACACTAATAGATGGGTGTGAGATGGCAGAAGTGGGAGTTCATGTAGAGAGTATTAGTGCAGATGTCCTTATACAGGAAGGTGTGCCGGTATTTCTCAAATGAAAACATCCAGAACATTTCATCACTATAGTTCAAGCAAAGCAAATACAAGTTGGGTTTGTTTCTTTTCTTTTTCTTTCTTTTTTGTTTTTGAGATAAAGTCTCACAGTGTTGCCAGGCTGGTCTTGAACTCATGAACTCTAGCGATCCTCCTGCTTCACCCTCTTGAAAAGCTGGGACTACAGGTGAATGCTCCTACACCTAGCTAAACCTGTTTTTGAAGATAATGAGGTAGACCACCTTTCATAGAGCATTTGCTATATTCATTTTAATTCTTACAATTTAAGATATACATATGGACATCTTTGTTTTGCACATGAGGAAATTTAGTAGAAGGGTTAATTGGCTTGCTGAAGATAACACAGCTAATAAATGGCAAAATTTTGAAGCTTGGATTCCATCAGAATCAGTGCTTTTAGTTGTACTGTATTGTCTGAATTTTGAACAGATCAATCTAATACAATGTGAAAAGTGGATTAGAGGATGACTAGAAATGACATTAAGAGATGAGTTAAGAGGCCACTGCAGTATTACAGAAAAGGTAATT